AAACTGCTTGTCACAAATCAGATGTTACTGGATGGGGAACATGAAGTTAACCGTTTCTTCAGGTGAAGCACAGACAAAACAAAACACATCCATTCAACTGTGGCTCTCATTATCTAGCCTTAAAACACTCTACATACAGCAGAATGTTTTGAAAATTATGAAACAGGGAAGAATTCGGGTTTATGGGTGGATATCGGTTGTTCGTGACAGTAAGTGCGGAGAAAAACGATCCAAAGTGTCTCATTTGATAGTGCTGATAATAATTAATCTATAAGGTATCCTGGACTGATGTTGCCATATTCAAATTTTTCCAGTCATCATTGTCCAAAGATAATTTTTTGACTCAGTCCAGGTAATACTTTGGGTATATGATTAGGTTGAATATGACGTATAATGGTAGACTGTTAGTAATCAGAACTCTGAATTTACTAAAGTCAAGAGCATATTTTAATTCTTCTTTTTTGCTATTTAGCTGAAAATCATTGTTAATGGAATCTCTTCATGGTAACTGGACTTTGACCTCAATCGGTTGGGAATATTCCACTAAATACTCAAGTACAGAATGTTTGTATTCAGTGATAATTCTTGCTGCGTAACTTGTAGTATTTTGTACATTTTTAGTAAGTCACTTTTTTCGAATCATTATCCAGTATTATGTTCGCACTTATTATTTATGAATTTATGTATTTATACTGGCTTATCATTTACTCTCTTCAACAAATGCCACGTAATTTTCCCTCATAAAATACATACTGCGTAACACTTTATCAAAATTCGTTGCACATATGTCATCTTCGATCGCTGCTGTTCGTATTACGGATGTGTAAATTATATGTACATAAACAAGGATTCAAAGCGCATAATTTGTGATGTAGTTACCCAATGAATACAAGAGAACTTAACCGCGCGATATTGTAAATTGATTGAAGTCACACACCAACGCTATAGGAAACCACCTCAGTGGTCCATATGTTAGTCGTTCGCGTGAGACGGGACTTCCTGAGTTCGAGTTTCGTGTCCAGGTTTATAACTACGTACTTCTATAGAGTATTATCCTATAGTGAGACGGACATCCAGTGCTCCAAGCTTTTCAACGTTGCTATAACACTGGTCGGTTAATGATTCCAAATAAAACCCATATCGAATAATCATTCTGGTTATATCAACTATCATATAAACAATAACTGTTATGGTTAATTTTGTTCAAGACCTTTTATTGACTCAACAGACAATTTTATTTAGACAGTAACAATTCGAATAATTCTTTGCGCTGCTACGATCGCTAGAGAATGTGACAATCTGTAGCTGAAATTTCGATCGCAAAAATATCCCTCGGTGATTCGTTGTACTCCCCCAAGAAAATATGTCCGCGGATCACATTACTAGCACGTTCTTCGCCTTGCTGTGCTCTGATGAAATTTGACTATAAATTTGCATATGTAGTTGCTCGCATATACATATTCACCTATCTGCTATATATTCGCTTGATGTGCTTATAGCTTTGCGATCTGCGCTATCCGCTAATAAACTGTAGTTTCCGCTTCTCTTTGCCTTCTGATTTCAAACACCGTTGATGTTTATATAATATCGGTTACGAAGGGTGGTCGGTTAACGAAGCAAAACCACTACATTGTATTAAATTATTTTAGTCCATGATACAAAAACACAAACCAAGGTTGTGATTATGTACGAAATAATATTTGATATATGTATTCAATTGTCATCATCATACGATAATAATGTTGTCATATAACGTCTCTAAGTTTGCATCCTTTTTTATAGTTACTGATGAAATGTATTGTAGTTCCCGATATGACTTAAGACTATAGTATACTACCATCAAGATTAGTTTTCCAACTAATGGGTTGCCGATCTTGGGACATGGCGGTTGACTGTAGGTGACTAAACATCTCATACCATGCACAGAAGAACCTAATAGTTTGACCAATTCACTTAGACTGTGAATGTTGATGTATTTTAATTACCAAGGCAGCTCATTTTATCGGGTTCAAGGGGTTGTTTATGTTGCACCTTTTATTGTACTATGTGTCATATATTCTTAAGTAACTCCGGAACTGGTATAAAATCCATTGTAGTGTCTAATAAAATCCAAATATAACGTTAATACTACGAAAAAATTAAAGATCTAAAAAGGAAAACTAACAAGTAGCCTTTGGGTAGGAGTGCTGTTTAGGCTTCGATATCTGTCACACTTACATAATAATATAACATTTAGACGCAACACATATATTTCCGCTTACCTGTGGTTTAAGAAATGGGTTGATTTTCTAAGAGGTGTAGATACACATATATAGCTTGAAAGTATAGTTAACACTCTAGTCTGTCAAGCATGTAGTAATACTAGTACTGGGACAGGACCAGTTAGAACTCAGAAAGTTCATAGTCGGGGCACACAGAGATATCTGGGTTCTCATTCATAGAGGATGGTCAAAATAGTTTGGTAATTGCCAATGAGAAGAACTAGTGCCCAGTCCCTAGATGAACAGGGAAGAGGACTTTTAACACCGTGACCGTTTGGAGATCTACTCAAGCTTTATCAGTCAGTTAAAGTCCTGTCGTACAATCGGTCTGTATGTAGCCTGTATTAGTATATATTCACTCCCAGAAGTAGTTTAAGTGAACCTAGACACCCTGTGAGTCTCAACAAATTGAACAGATCAAGGATTCTAAGACATGTTCATTTCAAACCTTACAATTGGCTTTTTGATACCGGAAAACATACTGCTTCTAGACATCTTAACTATGTGGATTACAACAGTCGCAGCTACACATAAGCCCACCTTGTTAGATGACGTGATCACACGGCTTTGGAAGGATCGATTTGGAATCTGGTGCGACATCTCAAAGCGTTGGAATCCGACTATACTAAATGTAAATTTACCCGCTGTTAAGTTCGAAAACTTATTCAAAATATGCAGTTTCGGCTAACAATATGAAGATTGCAAAAGCAAAAACGTTGATGCATCAAGGGACTGCAGTACTGTTGGGGACGTTAGACCCCAAAAACCCATACTTTGTAGTTTTATCTTTGTGGAGCATGTACGCAGGAGTATGCTTGGGTATTTCTTACCACCCATGAACATAGTCGATCGACGAGCTTATCGATCAAATGTTTAAAAACTTCCATGGCAATACCGATTATATATATTTTGTTTAAATACGCTTGATTTGTGTGCTTGATGGACCCAGTATTTTGTGGTTGCCTGTAGAATACACTTTCTACATCTTACCAAGACTTCTGGACCGAGTAAGCGGAGTCGGGAACAACTGGCCAGTATAGCCTATCGAGTCTCTAGTTGCTTGATTCTTCGTTCCGTTCCGAGTAAGATGAATCAGTAATACCACTCAATCTTAACGAGCATAACAGATACATACATTCAACCTAGTAGTTTTATAAGAGCGGAGAATATAAATGGTCAAAACTCACATTGTCACGACTCTCAATATGAACCTAGCAAACCTGATAGGAACTCGTTCTTAATAGTTTCTGTAAGCAGATAGACGCAATTGTGATGCAGAGCTTTCTAATTTACAAGTAAGCTGATTAATCTGAGTTGCATTTGTGGAAAAACCAGTATGCGGGTTTCCGAAATTAACCATTAACTAATAATTTTAAATTATATACAGCCACAAACGTTTGTAGTCACTTCAGATCAAGTGGATTATTACTAACTCACATGATGCACATCATGTACGGAAACATTTTGCGGAGAAAATGCAGAAAGTATAACATATAGATCAAGATTGGTTATGGAGACTCTAGAAATACATACACCTGCATCAAATCTGATGTAAACACCCAGAATTATCTGAAATTCAACAGCGAAACTAGCAGTAGTATTTGGTGACAACAAAACCGTTAAAATACAAAATTGTGGGTTCAGATTATTGATCAGAGGAATGAAGTGTTCAAGCATCCTTACTTGTTTCAACCACATGATTTTTCCAGAAACAGAGAGACCAAACTAAAAGGAACCCTCGAATAAGCGTAAAAACTCTAAAGGAACCTGATGTTTATGAAAAATGAATTGAACTGAATGTGTCCATAAAGTCAGTCAGTCAGTAACAACGTAGAACTTCGTACGTACGTACATCAGTTCGAGTTGCCACACCACATTAGCACAGAGATGCAGTATTCGATTCAAATCCCGTAGTGCTAGATGTAGTAAAATTATAAGCTGTAATCAGAAAAATTAGGGTTTGAAGATGTTATTCAAGGAGTACAATCCAGTGAAATAAATTTGGAGAGAAAAAAGAAAGGGACATGAAGAATTCAGAAGATTAGAATTTGGGAGAACACAGAGAGTGGATGCACCTGAGCCATTGCAAACGATTTTGAGCCATGTCACCCAGGGTCTCTAACCATCGGTAGCTATCATCTCGCGGTCCCCACCAACCGGGTAGTCTACACCTACCAATATGACTCAGTCTACTTGTCAGTGACTCCATGGTTTTGTGCCATACTTTGATCTAGCCGCCCCTAGCTTTCTTCCAATCTACTCCTATACAACAAAGCATCGCGCATCGAGGCAGTCGGTGGTTGGGCATACGTAACACATGTCCCAGCCATCTCAACTGATGAAATTTCACTACGTCATCAATTGATTTGGCATCCTTACGTAGTACCCATTTTCTAACAACTGTATTACTTACTCGATGGTCCCAGGATATACGAGCATAAATAAGTACTCATTTTTCACATACATGAAAGTCGTATGATACGAAAGCCTCCCAACCTAGCTTCCCAGCTCTCCATTGCATGCAGTCGAACAACGGAGGACTTAATTAGTAAAGTGGTATCTCAATGACAGCATGAAATTAGTGAAATTCACTCCGCTGAGCATATGTCTATGTAGCACCTGAAGAATCCAGCTAAGTGGTCGATAAGACACAAACAGTAATTAATATACGAGTAATTAATATACATATTGTGAAAATATACGTAATATATCGTCTACCGAAAAACCAGAAAACTTTGATAATTATGACAGATTTTAGAAGGGTATACATTTACAATTTTAAAAAAAAGACAAACTAATGACGTACAAGTACATACTTAACAGCACAAAATCTAATTACAATTCCGAATATGAGGTGAAGCCTTGAAATTCGTGTGAAATCTGTTTTAATTCCTACTACTTTTGTACCTTCGATGAACTGAAATTTGCTGTTTACCGGGATTATAGAAATGTTTAATATTTGTATATCAGATAAGAATTTTCAGTCTAATTGAAACGAAGATCTAAACATTTTAACAGTCCTATTAACACCAAAAATAATAATTCATATGGGCATGAAAACTCTCAATACCAATCACAACGACAGTTGTTTGATGAGGACCATTTTGTTTCAGTTATTTGATATAACAAATATGCCCATAAAAGTAACCCCAAAAGATGAGATCCAATAGCGAAAATTTGACCAGAGACACCCCAACGATACTTAGCTCTTTCGATGGCACCTATTAAATCTGGTAAGCCGAAGAAGTTGCACAAGGAGTGTGTAACAATACTTGAAGCAATATTACCTATACAGTAAACAAAATATGATGAAATGTGTATTGAAAAAGTAGCTAGTAAATTAAATTTTTACTAAGATTGACAAAACATGGATAGGTAGGTATTTTATGCTATCACATATACTTGCGACATAGCTACAAGACATTAAGGAAATTTTTCTACAAGTGGAACAAACAATTTTATATTTAAATATAGACATAACATATACAAAACTAACACTCATTCAGAACATTGTAACAAACTTATCAGTTACATCTGAGTTTTCACTAGAGTATATTATCTTTTACAACTGAGCGCATTATATGTATACACTAGAATATGTCAAGTAATGATCTACAAGTTTCCAGAGAATACATTTATTAAAACATTTCTGTTCATTTTAATAGTGTTACTATGGAAAAAAAGCTGGTAAGTAAAGTGCTAAATAAGATACATACTCGACAATTCCTGACTGCTTAAAAAACAGTGTAGTTCTTATGCGAATCATATTAAGATTTATACCAACGTCCTAAATGATGAATTATTGTAGAATGCATCTTTTAAAAAAATCAACAGAAAGGAAGTAGCAAAACTACATGTAACGATCTACTATCAGGTCGAATGACAAATTATAATGAATTAATCAACAAAAGAAACCTCATTATTTGGAAAGTACAACGTATATCGCAATTCATTTTTCTTAATAAAAAAGATGGAAAAATTACTAAAGGAAATACTGAATTCATGAGAAAGATTTGTTGTTCAGTCGGACGCTTCTGATGGTGCAAATGTTCCTAAGGTACAGAACACTAGTTAAAGTTTTGGAGTTAAATCACCCAGTAGACAGATGCAGGTAACAATATCAGAAGAAAAAAAACATACCATTTATAAGACTCTAAAGACGTACCCAAATAAATAAAATAAAATTATTCTAATTCCTTTCATCAAATAATATTCACGTAATGTGGTTAAGTTCAAAACACATTTATAACTGATTTAAAAAGGTTACATATTTGGCTTATTTTGTAATAATCTTTACAATGTATGCAAAGTACACAGGAATTAAGTGCTTAAACGAAAACAAATATTTTATAGAACAGTGTACAAAAACAGATATCAGCAAGAAAAGATTCATATACAATGTTATGACCAATTTGTTGGTTTTTTGAATATAGATGTCTTACCATCTGCTTAGAGTTGACCAATATTGTTGTTGAAATCGGTATTACAGGACAAAATAGCATAACATAAACAAAATCAATAGCGCTATATCTACAGACCAATTATGAACAAAATAAGTCACCCGTAGTTACACTACTAATTTAGTTCGCGACTGATCTCCACTAGACATAAAATAGTCAATTTTTACGATGTTATACTATCTTATGCAGTTAGAAATTTATTGGATGCACAATTCAATCATACATTTATATAACAAAACGAAATCGAAATTTGTAAGCTGTATTTAAACAGTAACCATGTTAAATATTTCTGTAAGAATCACAGTTGAAGAATTATGAAACCAAATGCTGTTTAGTGTAAACCATTTAGAATTTCAAATCCGATACACATATGTGTGATTAGATCAATTTTCAACATAAGTCAGATCATATGGTGTGTGTAACCATAAAAACAAACAGCTGTTGTTACGGGTGGACTGCAGGTTAAATGCGCAGCGTATTATCGATCGATCCAGTGACACGTAAAACACGTAAGGACGACCTAGAGTCCCGATTGGTCCCGCTCCCCTGTCTAGCCCAGCCAGTTGAGTCTAGAACGCAAGTCACAGCCTCTGAGTTATGAATCGTTATATTTCAAACATACTCTGTTTATATACTAACCAAACAGACCACAACGTACCATAAAAATAGAAAACAACATCTGTACAATATTTAACGAGTGAAAGAAATAATGGCCAATAGGGAATGTCCATTTAAGGTCCAAGGACATCATTAGACTTAACATTATAATGATTAGTATATTATTCTGCATTCATAACACAGCGATCTAATTTTAGCAGTTAAATTCACGAATCAATCTAAGCTAGAACACCATTTAAAACTTGGAAGTACTCGATGGCCGTTTCGTCCTAGTATGTGACTCCTCAGTAGTGCACATTCACAGTCCCGCACGCGTCCAGGTTTTCAATGGCGGTCTGGCATAGATTGACTTGTGAATTCAACTGTTAATACACAAATCCTAATAATGATAGTGATCTTATTACTCAACATAACCCTTGTTCTGTAGCGTGATAAAATATTTGACTGAAGTTTCCGATTAAATTTGATCTTAATACAATTCAAATAACAAACACAATTCTATGCCTTTTACTGCAAACCGCATTTAATGTGGACTAATCAGTTGATCAAACACAACTAGATGAATTGTGGTTGGAGTCTTGAAATCTATTAGTCAAATGTTGAGTGCCTAAGTCACTAGTTCAAACCCAAACGGATTGTCGTACATCGTATTTATGTCAACAATAATTACACTAAATAATGGATCGCGAGGTGACTAAACATATAATTGTTACTAAGACTGGAAATGCTCAAGAAATATTCAGAATGAATCTGGATTTAGAGCCGATGTCAACACAGTTGGTAGTAAAAGTGCTATTTCATAAAATATTTCCTAATTCTAAATTTGAATAAAGCCAGAACAAAGATCATAGTGGAATAACATGAACTGATTTATTTCGAGAATTCTCTTCTATTGCTTAGAACCTAGAAAAGATAGTATTAAGTATTTAGAAAACGTTGTATATACTTTATATCATGATTTTAGTAAAGTTTCCATCAACAGTAATTAGTAAAAGTAGCAGTAAGTATGAAAAAATTATAAGAGACGTTCATGTGGTTGAAAATTTCTATGTTAGATAAAGTGTGAAATCAAAGCGAAAATTTTAAAACTCCTGGAAACAAGCTACTGAAAATTTCAAAGTTACATAATAAAAACTACAAACATGAATTGATTATGGGATTACAATGAGTAAAGCTCGTGTAAGATACAAGAAGGGGTAAAGAAAATTAATTTATAATTGCAAACATAAAGGGTTACGTCACGCAACTAAGTATTGGGAACTGAATACACTAGGATATTGTAAGACTGAGAACAGTAAATTTTTGAAAGCATAAATCCGAGTTGAGTCGTTTGAAAGTGATGGCTTGATTAAAACGTAATAAGTCCGAAGTCATAAGGTTACTAACATTTCAGAACGATCGTAAAATTCCAAAGTCATGTTCGCTATCAAGTAGATGACGGGTGATTACACAGTTGAAAGTAATGTTGACCTCTTAGTCCTAATTTGTGAAGAACATGACTGGAGATGACATCGAGAACTCTCATTTCTGTTCATCTAATGTATGGGATTCGCCACGCACTTTAAACTGGTAAGAAAAATCGGAAGTAACGTTAAGTGAGTATTTCACAATTTTCGAATGTCTCAATGATACCAGTTCAGAGACTGGATAAATCCTTCTTAATGCAGCGCACAGACCGGAATCAACCTTATCAACTGTCTCACTACTTTTAAAATCATGTAGTACAAAGACAGATTTTTGTAAACACAACAAATTCCATTCAAACTTTATTTAATAACCATTATCCGACAGACAACCTTGAGCAACGATTAATACCAGTTCAGTCTTGTCAGCTTTATATAAGTTTTGCACTTTACTGAATAATTTTTTTAACCAGTTCAGATACAGAATGTGTAAAAATGTATTGTATAACTTACAATAATTGCTTAAAGTACCATAACGCTTCATTAAAAAATTTCGTAAAACTGAATAGATCTAGATTTATTTCAAATATCATAAAATTCTAATGGACATAGAAATGACCATGAAAAGAAAATATTAATAGTTTTTAGCTCAAATTTTACGTTGAATTAATCTATTGAAACAAATGGAAGGATGTTTTGTGTATATTTATTATTAAGCTTCCAAATGTCACTCACAATGCTAGATCACTATAACTTCAGTGAGACTAATAAACTGTATGAGAGGATTCTTCAAAAACTGACGATGCTTACTGGTTAATTTTTACAATTTTGTTATTTCATTGTGATTTCGAATTTTAACATAGGAAACGGATTAACCAAGCGTCTACTAAACACAATTTTCACACTTATCTTCCTTAATACACACTACCATAACCTTGACATGTAGCGCAGCTTTAAAAAACTGTTCGAAAAGCCGCATACATACGTTAGTAACGTTACTGAATGGTGAAATCACGCAATAACGTACAAACAATGAAATACCATCCTATTGCATAGAAAAGCAAAGTTATTAAGGGATTATATTTTACCAATATACATCTCAGCTTTATCATCGACTGTATTTTTCGTTAATTACAGATTGCCTACAGTGACGTAATATCTAGGCCTACTATTGATATTGCAGTTTTCAATTTTAAAAATAACTTCACGAATATAAAAAGTGTATACTGTACAACTAAAAATACATAAACTTACCAGTTCTTAGCATCAAAAATCCAGAATACGTTCCAAATAGAGTTGTGTAAAACACTTGGAAAACTTTAAAAATAAATAACGTTTTAAATGATCACAATGAAGTCAGTAATAAGAAACGACAGAAACTTTATGGAAACTCAGAAGATAAATATAATGATTAGAATGTGTTTAGATTCCATGGTTATAATTCTAATAACCAAAATTACAAATTACTTGTGAGAAGTAAATTCCAATTAACTAAAAGCCACCAGCTAACTTAAAATAAAGTCACAAATAACAAGGTGACAAATATCATCACAATGATGTTTATGGTTTATTAGTGAACAAAAATTAACAATATTAGACATGATCTACGGTGCTAATGTCACGCAATACACTTGAAACACATTTGATATGAGGCCTACTAATACTATATAACTGACAAAGAGAAAGTAAGTAAAGTGTAGACTATAAACAGCAGCCAAGTATTAAGGTATTTGGTATCTTTACCTAAATCTTTGTAGCTCAGTATGAGGAAAATATGGAAATGGTTACAGTGATCATCTGGCTTATCATAATAGTTTTACTAGTTTAGATGAATAATTATAAGAAGCTTCATTTTGTATTGCCACCTTATCCAAACATTGAATTAACCGAGATATCCGCTTAATATTCATAGATGAGTATGGAACGTACTCTATAAAAAACACAAACATTTTTCAGAAGTGTTTAATTACAAAAGTTTTTAAGCACAAGTCGAGCGTGAGTTACGAAGTGACAAATGTTATCGTACCTAGAGTATAGGGATATTGGAAAACCGGTTAACGAGTTAATGAACACTCATTACTTGGCACATGTGTCAGAATGTCTAATCGAAACCTACAGTGAAATATTTTTCTGGCCAGTAGCAGAAGTAGGTTAGGAAAAGACAACAGTAGATCTATTTGCGGTATTAGTCTATCAAATTAAAAACTGTCGATTTGAGTCACTTTGGAGAGGTAGGCGTTGTAGTTGGTTGAAAACTAACGGTGATATGCCATGTTTATGTAAATGTGTCTGTTTTTTATACTCCTTAGAGAGTTCAATAAATCGTAACCCTATCCCCATCGTCCTCCATTTTGATACGTTCAGTATTGTACTCATGTTGGCGTCATTACTTTTAATATTTTATTTTGCTTAAATTAGTTTATTTCTGTTGCATAATCCCATTTATAGTTGATTACGGATATAATCATCCTTTGTCAGTTATATTAAAAGACACATAATAGTCGAATTGTCTGAATATTTTTAAAGCGATCTAACATATAATTTTCAAGCGATTGGATTATTAAATAAGTTTGCCACATAAACTCATAGTGTATTTTTATATTTTAAAGTTATTTGTTTATTTATTATTTATTTAAACACAAACATTGGTACAATGAGGCAACAAATATACGCCAAATGAATTATTCGATTTATGTGAGGGCTGTGATACTGACCGGGTGCCCAAACCGAAGCAGGTCGTTTTCTTAAGAGGCCACACCTCGAGCCTTCGACCTAAAGGTCTGATCCACAAGGCACTGGAACAATATAAGGAGATGCAGTCCCATGGTAGCCCGTGGCCAACGATTGGTTCATACGACATTTGTTCTTTCAGGATACTGGAGCCCAGGTGTACCATTGATTTGGAATCAGGGTTTTACAACTCTCCTAGGTGGACTCTCCGTGTCCACTAATTCGGTTAAAGAGCCGGACATTTGCTTTTTGTCCTCTCAATTTCGTAGACAACACAATAGCAGAGGCTATATACGCGTGACCATTTGAGAGCACTTCGAGAGAAGGAGCGGACTCTCCCCACTCTCGGCCATACCAGGGAATTTGGGGGCTAATAATAAATGTATGCAAATGAATTTTCTTCGAAAGAAGGCGTTTACATTTAAACGAATTTATGCAGAATATTCAAATTACAAGGCAATGAAATATGTAAACAGAGAAGTTGTGTACACTAACTTGATAAACAATATATGCATAAAAAGTAGTGTGTTAATTTAATATAATCTATTGTGTATTTACTTTATTTAATAGTGACTTTATAGTAGAAAACATACGACTTAATAAATTATGCGAGCCATAATAAGCACGAAAAATAAAAGAACTCATACAGAATAATGACGTTGATACACTGAACAAAACTAACATACATATATAGATTTATGACAATTTTTATGTTAATTCTTTGATAATTGGGGCCTGAAGGAATGTCAGTCTTAGTACCTACTAACTATTATAAACAAGGATTCAAGTTTTGCATTTGTGAAGAAGTTATGATTTACAATGGGAGTGTTTGCAGGTAGATCCTAATTTACTATACTATTTATCAATCTGAATAAACTAGGTAAAAAAATAAGGCTTTACAATTTATTTGTAATAAAATGCAGGTCACTATAAGAACATAGTAAAAGAAATGGTTTGGTGATTATGACAATTATCCATCTTGTATCTAACACACATATAAAGAGACGAGGGTCTGTGACTACACACAGGTAAATTTGATTTGTGAGCCACACTTATTGCATGAGACTATTATTTATGCAATAAGACTTGAAATAGTTGTCATTTGTTTCGATTAAAACATCGAGTTATCAAATGCGTTTCGTGGTAAGATAATTTTCTTGTGTATGCAAATACATTTGTGATTAAAAGAAATAAGATTATTAAGCATGTTTGTATTGTTGGGTTATTCGGACAGTCTGTGAAAAGAAATAAAAAACCAATAATGCAATTCTACAATACCCTAGATGATCCTGGAAGCTCTTCCCCACATCGCAAGGAGTCAGAAAAAAATCTGAAATGATTATTGCAGCTTCAACTGGTAATAATAGTGCGAAACGTCTATTTATAGAGGAATTCTCAGTATACTTCGAAATCATCTACTAAGAATGGGAATATCAGAGCGAATAGTTTAGAAGAAACTTTCCTGTCTGATTGTGTATATATTCGGAAATTAGTAAAGGATGTTAAATTTTAAAGATAACCAAACTTGCAAAACAGTAACTAAAAGATTATTGAGTGTTATATATAGATTGTAAAGTTTTAAAATGAATACAAAAAGCAAGCTATTCAAGTGTTCAGAAGTGTGTTAACAATGTCAATAAAAATTGAATGACATTTGAAGTCAAATGGTCTAGTATGCATGAAATAGAATGAAAACTAATTCCATTTCTTGGTGGTTTTTTCTCTGAGCCTTCCTCGGTTTGGGCGTCCGAGCGGCCCCGCATCCATCATACAAATCGAATAATGAAGTGTGACGCATACATATTTGTTGTCTCCTTGTACCAATGTTTACATGTTTAAAGAAATGAATGAATAAATGCAAACAATCTTGTCAGGAACGTAGAACAGTGAGTCCTAAAGTAACGTTTTACATTCAGAGGGAGAAGAACGTAGCCCAGACACATTTGCATTATTGTTTAAGACGAATAAAAGAATACATATAGTCATCATTTTCAACAAACAGGCACTTAAATGAACGAATTTAAACACTTATGGGGTATGTGTTTTCTTATATGGTTTAGAAAAACAGCCGAATACTGTAATGAAATGATGTTGTGAATTACTTTGGCCGACTCTCTCCTTCTTCAACTTGCGATAACAAGCATTTCATCTACGAGACATGTGTACCACATGTTTCGGCTACCTCAGTCGATAACGGTTCACAGATTGATCAAATGAAATAATTTTTACTTATCCTTGACGTTAGCATTAATCACACGTTAGCTCTGCTATATGTGAGAGAAACGAAAAAAAACGATATTTCTTGATTTAGGCACTTTTATTCGTAAGATGACAATCTTTTTACTGTCTTTAACAAATTCCTTCATATGTCTTTAGTTATTGTTTAACATGAGTAGTAAAACACAACATAAACGACGTGTATAACTATGAAATTTGTTGATTTAATATAGCTACTTTATTCAATATATTATACAAGTTCATGAAAAAAAGTTAGTGAAATATAAATGGACTCACGTGAAGTTTTAAATGCAGATTGCAGATCTTGACCACTTTTCACTGATTCAAAAACATGATGAAAATGGGCTACATGTAACGACAATAACAACAAAAAAACAATTGGTATAAACCTACAAAGTACTTGATTTAATGAAAGAGGAATTTCTATTTAATATTGTATACAGTTTATAAGCACACATAGGTGCATGCATTTAGCTATTTATCAGTGGAACTACATGTAGTTGTATACACATTCAGCTGGAACTAATAATGAACAAATGACTAAGGCAGCTGGACGGATGATTCAGCTTGGGATACCAAAGTACAAGGCAACCATTGTAAAAAATGGGAGCAAAGTAATTATTTTAATTAAACCTATAAGATTTATAATATTTTAAGTTATTTTTCACTTTCATGAATTGCGCAATTTTACTAAGAGATTTGGTACAAAACAAATTTTCTAAAACTTTGTAGAGTTTAAGTACAGTAAACCATCATGAGCACTTCTAGGATTACTGCTAGTCCCAAGCCCGGATTATTTATTTAAACACATAAACATTGGTACAAGGAGGCAACAAATATGCGCCACATAAATTATTCGATTTCGAGAGGGACAGCTGAATTTTCCCTCGCTCGGCCGTACCAGAGCGTTTGGAGGATAAAGCAGGAGGGTTTGGCATGGAGTCAGCAACCGGATCCCATGGAAAACAACCCTGATAAGAAAAAGACTGACCAGAAGAAAGACCAACCTAATATGAGACCTAAACGCGAGGGTCGGAATGAACAAGACCGAGAATAATGATTCCATATGGAGATACGGACTAGGTGAAAGGAACGAAAATGGAGAGAGTTTTGCAAATCAATATGCCTTCGACAAATAGGTTTTAAGTGTTCTAACTACCTGTTCCTCTGTTTTTGAATTCCGGTGATTGGTTTTATTTTTTTGTTCTTGACTGGTCGCTCGGATTTACAATATTTTCCAGCGATCTCTTTTGCTGTCTTACAGTTGTCTCTTATTTCTTTTTCTCGCAGCTTTTTACATTGTCATTGCTGGGTCTTCCACATATTTCCGCTCACCAACTCTAATGATCCTCTCCACTCGCCTGTTTGCTTCTGTGTATTTGCTTTGTGCTTTCTCTAGTCTTGTTTGTCTGTTAGTGATTGTCATCTTGTTTCTCCTTTATTGAATCTTGTTCAGGTATCTATGGAGATCCCTTCTCTACGATAGTGCTTCATGTAGCCAAGGACCTCCTGGTATGTCAAAGTTACTGCCTTTTTAATACCTTTCAAGTTTTCATTCAGAGTAGTTTCCGCTTCTCTGAAAAGGTCTTGTAAGGCTTGGGACCTGTTCTCAAGAGTTATCTTGAATTCGTTGAGTTTGTCAGTATCTTGAAGGAGGGCTATACTAAACTTAGTAATCCCGTTTCTCTGTTTCCCAGTGCTTCTTTAGCTTCAGTTTCATCTTGGCCACCATAAGGCGGTTATGTGAATCTATATTAGTTCCTCTCTGTGTTCTCACGTATCTCATTGACCTTACGAACTCTTTATTGATGAAAATGTGATCGACCTGGTTCTCTATAAAGTGATCCGGTGTTGCTTTGTTTGCGTTTTTGGGGGAATAAGATGCCACTTATAACGATTTTGTTGAAAGCAAGCAGACTTTGAATTTAAACTGGTACATTTTTATGCGGTTATCATTGAAGTACATCCCACTCTATGTGATAAAACGAATGAAACTAAGTAGCTTACTAATCTAAAATAGATATAGCAGGATTACAGCCTGTGAATAAATGGATGAAAGTTAACCGCTTCAGTCACTAAGTCATCACGCTTTTAGCAGGCGAATTGAATAAACTTTGGTTGAAATAACTTTCAAAAAATTACTCCAGTGAAAATTCTAACTCAATAGGTAGAGAGGTGGTCAGGAGTATAAAGAAGAAACAGTTATAAAATCCGCATCAAAGTAAACCAATAACTAATGAATATTATCAAGTAATAAGTAAAATCAGAAAAAGTCCTAGTTATGTACGAGTTTCAAAACAATACTTACCTAAAGAGAAAAATAATGAACTAACGAAACAAAGCATAACACATGATGAGAACAAAGGAAGTAGATGAAATGTAACACATGCACGGAAGATGAGTTCTTCAGCCAAAGGAGCTATTACAAAATTTCTTAAACTTATCCAGTTAAATATACGATCTTTCCAGTATTGAACATCTATAAGTAATAAATCCAAAGTAAATCGATCCGTTTTATTCGATATATACACGAAGTAAACAGATAAATCAACAGGAAAATATCGAAACCGTAGATTCAGTCTGTTTTTACAATTTAAAGGTTACACAAGTTTTTGATCATGAAGTTTGTTGTTTTAGGTATGATTGTTAGTATTAAGGGAAGGCTAATGCTTTAGTGGACTTGAAATCCACATTTCTTAGTTATTAATCCCACTGTCTATGTTTCACTAATTCTAACTTATTGATCAAACAGTTTAAAACTGGGACATGTATAAACTGAAATGCGGTATCATTACAGATAATACATTGAGACAGTTTTGAAAGTTTTCATCGAATTGAGACATATACGAGGACAAACTTATTTAGAGCTCTTAGTGTTGTCAAAATTGTGTATGCAATTTTGTATATGGAGATTTGAACAAATTTACATTATTTAAAAATATGTGGATGTACTCTCATATTATTGTTATGACTTGAGACGAAATTTCGGTTAGAATCGATAGATAAACGTAATGATATAATTTGACCGAGTGATGGCGACTCATGAGACCGTATAATTGACTTAGGCCCCCGAATGATTGGAAATCAGAGACATTATAACTAGCCAGATGAACGATTTTTCATGTAGTAAAGTAGCATGTCTATACAAAATATGATTTTATTTATTTATTTTAACACATAGATATTGGTACAGGCAGGCACCAGATACATATGCGCCACACAAATCTCATTTGATATATGTGAGGGCTGTGATACTGACCGGGTGCCCAAACCGAAGCAGGTCGTTTTCTTAAGAGGCCACACCTCGAGCCTTCGACCTAAAGGTCTGATCCACAAGGCACTGGAACAATATAAGGAGATGCAGTCCCATGGTAGCCCGTGGCCAACGATTGGTTCATACGACATTTGTTCTTTCAGGATACTGGAGCCCAGGTGCACCATTGATTTGGAATCAGGGTTTTACAACTCTCCTAGGTGGACTCTCCGTGTCCACTAATTCGGTTAAAGAGCCGGACATTTGCTTTTTGTCCTCTCAATTTCGTAGACAACACAATAGCAGAGGCTATATACGCGTGACCATTTGAGAGCACTTCGAGAGAAGGAGCGGACTCTCCCCACTCTCGGCCGTACCAGGGCACTTGAGGACACAAAATAAACATAAATTGTCATAGGTGATCGGAGGAAATTGGCTTGTACGCCACTCACTTTTCAACAAATTAACATCTGGCTGTTTGGCCTAATCTTTGGGCAAGGATAATATGAAAACAAAACTGGTAATTTTGTATGAAACAACGCAAAATGTTTGGGCGAAATCGTGATGAAAAAAACATTTACATCCAAACACATATATGCCAACCAATGAGTTCAATATATATATATATATATATATATATATATATATATATATATATATATATATTTCGCCGTTATTGGATCGGTTTAATTTTAAACCGCATTTTTACATCAATCTGAGTTTGGTTTATATACTAATTTCGTTGTACGAAATATTGTGTTCACCGAGTTAGAATATAGAAAAAATATAGAAAACCTAAAACACAAAAGCAATGATAGTGGTCATTACCAAATATGACTAACATATCTCCACTACATATGTCATCCAATACAACGCCAAAGTACATGACCTGATTTTGTATGAATATCAGAGACAATAACAACAAACCAAAGTAAGTATGACAGATATAATAACTGCTTCTAATAAGCCATCCAGCCTAATAAACAGTTTCCCAAATTCATATGAAGATAACTGAAACTAGAAGAAGTTATTAATAAGATCCCACTAACCGGAGGACGATCATAGGAACGTATGTACGTCAGTATATGAATCATGGAAATAGTTCCTGTCACGAACACGGAGACAACTCTTCTCTTGATTGTTTCCGGATGGTCTCTAAAATTGACCAGTGAATTTATTCAAGCGTACCTACCTTGGAAACTTTCCACCGGCGAAATATAGACCGGATATGAACAGGAAGGAATAAAATATACAATTAAGAATTTCGTACATAGGGAAGCCGACTGAAATGTGGAATTCTTGGTCATATACCACGATGGGGTAGTGTATTTTTCTCTGGTAACCGGCAGTTAGCGAAATGTCCAGATCAGTGAAGTTTAAATAGATTGATAAGTGGAAAATGAATCTGGGAATTAAACAATACTTGTTACCGTTAATAAAAGCCAGCTGACGCATCAAGTAACTTATGTACATTATATAGACGAGAACATATGACTTATTTCACGTATCGTGAGGCTGAAGACATGGTGTAATGAGAATCAAAGGAACATAGCGTGAATAAGCTCAACAAATCTGACGACAGACAACGCCATACATGAAGATATCTAAAAGTTGCTTGTTTTCTAGGCCCAAGATTGACATTGACCATGGCCGTACTTTAATATTCAATCCAAGTACATTAATTACTATGATGTACTGGATCAGTCAGTCAGCTACAACGTAGGACCAGGCACACATATGCATCGGTCCAAGTTGCCATACCTCATTAGCACAAGATGGACATTAAATTCAGAGGTAGTTACTTCAATGGTGGTCATATATAAGAAAAAGATAACATATAAGGATATAGTACAAAAAAAAGAATTAGTTGGTACACATAAAGATATAAAGCAATGTAAATCTCATAGATTAAGGGAAGATAGAGAGTGCATACATTTACGCCAATGTGATAGATTCTGAGCCATGTCACACAGAGTCTTTTAACCATTGGTTACGATAGTCACGCGAACCACAACCAAATAGTTTGCATCTACCAACTTGGTCCAGACTAGAAGTTAGCGACTTCAAGCACTGAATCCACGTTTCGGTTTGGCCGACACTAACCTAATCGTTAAAATTCGACTACTGTACTTAAGACCTCTGAAGCTAATCCATCTGGACCAGCTGCTATTCCTGGTTTCAGATTAGCTATAGCTTTTGAAACTCAACTCGAGTCGGAGGACCAACCTCAATACTCCATTCAGACTGTTTGGGAATTGAGGGTAGTTGTAGATTAGCTGTAGTCCAGATAAACTGTTCCGCCCATCGTTCTAAACGTTTGGACTAAGAACAGATAAGACTGTCGTCTCAATAACACTTGACTTCTTAGTTCCAGTTTCTTTTATTAGTCTGAAGAGCTGTCTTGTTTTACCTATAGCCGCTGCCTTTTTCATCTCTTTTGATTTCGTTGCCCACAAATGCTCACGGTTGGTCCCTATACTTTTGGTTACCCTAGATATGATTTTCTTTCGCTCTTCATCATATATATATATATATATATATATATATATATATATATATATATTCGATGCATCCAATACTCATGAATAAATGTACAAAAGTAAAAAAGAACGCAACCCCAAACTGAGCCAACAAATCTAGCTTCTGTTTTTCTGGTCACATTTTTTAAAGATAAATACACTTAGTAATGACCGAAAAGAGTTGTAAAACATGCTATGACCGATAAGATGGTTTCCAAGATAATTCTGGGTTTTTAATGACACCCATGTAAGTGAATTGTTTTACTGAGGTTTTAAAACCCGATAAAGATCATTTTCATGTGGTCGAATCTTAAAGAAAGTTAGCTAAACGAGCATGTTACAAACAACAGAGTTGTTCACGAAACCCTTCAAATTTCCGCCGAAAATGTGGAACTTGTAGTGCCCTCCATTATTCAGAGCCTCAATAATATGCAATATCTTCGTGACTATCTAGAATAACCCGGCTGACTTCTCGTTGCTCACTTTTGACTCCTAAGTAATGCTCTCACTTTTCGAGCCTCTAGTTAAGTTTTTCTATCCGCTCGAATATAGCATTTGTAGCGAAAAGTACCTCGATAATGAATTTATTTACCATTGTTTTTTTAAATTTTCCTATTTACTGAAGTGGTTCACTTTTTTCATGATGAAGTAAGAGAATCGTTTGCTTAACGGGCTTCCATATCTAGCAGCAGTGGACCAGCGATGCCTCAAGGTAGGAACATATGTATATTTAGTGATTATAAAGAAAATATTAGCAAATCATCGTGAGACTTTGTCCTGAATCCCTAGGCAAATGTCAAGTTTCCCCTTGTGGAACATCTGGATAGTCGCTTAAAGCACTTCAGGCAAACGAACATCCCAAAAGTTGGCAATTCATGTTGTGTCTATAATTTCTGGGTGTTACCCTCAGGTAGGTGTTTAAGGGGGTGCTCAGGAGTGTTCAGGATGTTATAGGTCATTAGAAGGTCTTCATTCAGGAGCATACACTCTAATGGGCAAAATTTCAACGACTTGGGGCCGTCTTTATAAGGTTTGACTTTGAGTCCCCGAAATGATTTCGTTGCTCACCGTTCGGTACATTCCAGTGTATTGTTATCCCTTTGGAATGAGAGAGTAAACAGTATATTCTCATACCCTAATTAGGATCGAATAGAACTGTTAGAAATTAAATTGAATTTTATATCGTCAAACTGACCAGAAATGCCTCTAAATGGCAGTTGCCTAAGTTGCATGCGTAGTCTGCAACTTGTCTCGGATGGACTAGTTTATACCTTGGAAGGGTAAAAGTAAGTTCGTTGTTATATGCCTACCTTTGAAATCGAGTTGAATTCTCCTGAAGTGCTAGTTTGTCATATTGGCTGCAAACGTCTCTCTGAAGTTTCACATCATCAGTGAAGAGTTGTAAATTAGATGAGATTCGCTTGGGAAGGTCTTTCATATGAACTAAAGATGAAGGTCCCAGTGCTGAACTTTGGGGGACCCAATAGGACGTTCTGTAGCCTGAGAAGAAGTGAATTTTACAATGGCTCTAGAGATACTATCACTAAATATGAATTAAGCCGATTAACTAACAGTGACTTGATACCTAACAGTTTGGGGTTATTGATGAGACATATATGACTGGCCTTATTTAAAGTCCTTGAGAATTCAAGATGTATAACTTTAACATTTTTCATGTGACCAGGGCTGTTTGTTCATCTATCCACCACACTTAGTAGATTGGATGTTCAAGGCTGACTACTTAGACCGTGTTGTTGGGGTGAAAAGAAGGTTATGGATAATACGCAATCAAATAAACCGTCATATAACAAGGCCACATAACATTCGAGTGTTTTGAGAGAAGTGCTAATGGTCAGTGGCCTAAAGATTCCTGCGTCAAGCTACTTTAAAGATTGGTGTAATTGGTGTAAGCTCCTAATTATGATGGACTGTGCCTCGGCTTAGCGAATGTGGGAACACTAAGAGGTGTTTCTAAGGTTTATGTCTCTACTAGCAGTATATCATAGTGAACCACACCCGAGCTGGGTGTCCGTGTTTATTTATTGCAGTTTCTAATACACTAAGCATATAGACTCACTTCTGAGACTCCTGTTAATTTGCGAGTGAAGCTCTTATCGATGCAGTTTGAATGGGACGGTTGAAATGTTTGGAAATGACATTCTTTCCGAGGCTCGGCGACATACTGTCGTTGTTGTTTGGACAATCAGACCAAACAGCTGAGGAACTCCGGTTTTTGTCTTGTCGAAGAGAAGCTGCATAACGTGGCGAAATTTTCGGATAGGAGAAATGTAGTCTAAGAGCATCATTTTATACTGAACCCTATCTTCTCTTATGACATCTATTCACCAGGTCATTGCATGTTAGAACTCTCCATATGTGCTGCTGCCACTAGTTTGTTTATGTTCGTTTATTAGTGGTTTTCGTGTCCTATCATTTTAAGAGTGTGACACTTCATGACTGTATGTTGTCTGTGGTTGTGAGTAGAATGTAAGATTGTGTGCCGTATGAAATCCCATTAAACGTCTACGTCACGTTACGGGTGTACTGTAAAGCTGACACACCCAAACGTTTGAAATTTCAAAGTCTGTTGTCGGTAGGATGTTTCCGTTCAGCTTTGCTGGTAAAATTGAAGGCTATGGTGGCATGATCACTTTTTCCAATAAGGGTCAGTATTGAGAGGTTGTCAATTAAAAATTTTTCGTGTGCAAATATGTAGTCTAAGCATGACGGTGTCTAACAGCTCCTCCCATGAGTTGTTTATTTCACATTTTCGAATAAACTCAAACACACGATGAGGTTTAAGAACTGAGCTTCAGTGGAGTTATCACCTCTAATGTCCGTAAGTTCAGCGAAATTGACATTAGGAAGTCTACCAGAACAGCATACGAGAGTATTCGAGATAAATGTAGCTGTATAGTCCCACCAGCATACGACTGTTGCATTCGGTGTCAAAAAAGGTCTTTCAGTAAATGACTTCAACGAGACATCTGGAGAAGTTACATTATCTCACTGGGCACCATACAGATTAATCGAGGTTGACAAACTCATGTGTGTACACTTAATATGATAGCAATCAGTATCGTATGTACAAGACTGCAATATCTCTGTAACGACCGAACTGCCAGTATTCAGTTTGAACGCAGGACTGACGAACCAAAATTTATTCGACTAGGCCAGACTACGTTCTTCTCTTTAGCTTACAAAGTGTTTTGAGACACTCGTATTAAATTATATCAAAACACAAACTCCGTGCTCAATCTAAACGGTACTAATTTTGGAAGCAGAACAAATAAGATCGGAAATACAAAATACCTCGAACGGTACAGCCTGTGCTATACTGTAGGAAGTTTCTCTAACGCAAAGTAGCATGCTAAGCGATAACGGGAACAGTTAATACTAAAGGGTGGGATACCTGAGAATTAATAAAAGATTTTCAACAAGATGGGGTCAAATATCTATATTCATGGATTCCAGCAATCCTCCCAAACAGACGGTCAGAAGGTTAACACCCACACAATGAATCACGCCGTGACCTTGAGCTTAGTCAAACATGACCTTAATGTCAATAGTCCGGCAACATGAAATAGAAAATTGGGTGACAAAAGATAAGTCTTTAATCAAAATCATATAATAAAGGCTCAGACGAGGAAGACTGAGGAACAAAAGGTGTGGTTTAACGAGATGTGAACAAAGGTTAAGATACACGACAAGGAGAAGAAACAGATAAATGATATTACTGTCCAACAAAAAAGCTGCGAAGGGATTTTCATCGTTCTCTTTACGTTACCGTCCTCCTTCCGGCTTTTTTGTACCACGGAACTAGGACATTGATGGTTTCATCGGTTACTGATCCGTAATTTGAGAAGAAGCCTACGTTCCAGATATTCCTAGTAGATGAGTATTATTAGTGGTGCATGATTCACGCAGCTCATCCGTTTTGTTCGGTAAACTCGCACCATTTGTATTTAGGCAGATAGTGTTTTTGATTTGAAATGCGTGAGCCATCTCTTCTTGTTTGTCCAAATAATCCTGTTGTGAATGGATAGACAAGGTACCCATACAGGGCTTTCTTAGTGTGTAGTTCCTGTCCCTTCTACGATTTTCTTTGATCTTGACAGTCCTTATGTGGAACACCCAGCTCTAAATTGCTTTTGCGCTTAATCCTTCTATTATGTAGCTCATCCGGTTGCATATAAAATCCAGTTGGTTGCTAACGTCTGTTGGCTCGGAGTGCTTCGAAAGTGGAAGCCACCATTTGAGATTATGTGAAAGATATGTTCATTAGCCGAGGTCAGGAATCTCTTTTCATCTTAGCTTATTTTACTACTTGTTTGGTGAACATGTTCTTAAGCTTTAGGGTTTGGTATATGATCTTCTAATTTAGGGCGTCATAATCTGCATAACCTAGGTCCGTGTTTTCTAGGACATCTTGCACGATGATGTTTCTTACGTGAAAGAACGTCTCGCCAGATTCCCCCAAGGTTTTAGTGTTCTCATCTCTCGCTATTTCATTTTCGATTCTCTTTTTCGCTTACTTTCACTACACAGCAGGATTGACAGGTTCAACAGTTGGTGCTTCACCGGGATGAGGCTTAGTTTACCGCGCAAAGAGAATGGCATGATTTAGGAAATGAGGAAGTATAGATTTATTGGTCGTTTAAGGGAATTGAGATGTATAATCGTGTAACATTTATCTGAAAGTCTGATCTATGAGGCTGTAGGGGTGATCTTATCCGCAACGCAACCATGTAAACTTAATGTATCGCACACTGTCATTTGTGCGTTCAAGTAACCACAGATTTTGTCATTTCATAATGTATTTTTAATTAAATAACTAGATTATGTTGTTAATTTTGCTCTGTTTTTAATTTTTATTCGCCACGTCCGACTGCGTTACACTGTATGTCCATTGCACGCTGGGATTATATCTCAAGTAATAGTGAGTTTATTCACATAGTTGATTGTTTCCAGATAGACTGTCAGTGCATGATTTTACTGAAGAAA